CAGCAGCGTGTGGCACTCTCGCCCTACCACACGCAACGAAGCTGTGGGCGAGAGTGGGAAGCAGGGCCTGATCAGCCCTGTGTATCTGCGAGTGACAACACTCTACTGTTCCCCGCTGTTCCTTGTTTTCATGGTGGTTCTTCACGCTATTTCCCTAACAGGTTTCCCTCCGCAGCGTTCTGCCGCTCGTGAGCCGCCTGACTTACCGCAGATGTGCACCAACAGAGTTTTCAACATTTCAAGTGAACTGACTTTCTCGCCTTTCCGTTCCCTCACCATTTTCTCGTGGGAACTGAGTTAACTGAAAACCCATTGTCAAAGTGTGTGCCGCTCTGCCAGCCCACTTGGGTGCAGGGTTTGATCTCCCGCAAAGAGGCGCTGAAACCACCGTGGATCACGTTTGACTTCGCGTTTTTCTGCACGCGTTGGAGTCTCTTCTTGAACAAGTGTTTCATCCCATGAACCTACTGCCGCAAAACTGCCGAGTTTACTTGACGCCGCCGGGCTTACGGAGCCTTTTCAGAGCTTTCGCGGTTCCCTCTACCACCCATCTAATCGCACCTAATTAGGGTAACAAAGGGAATTGGTACTCGACACACTTGTGTGTCAGTGCCTTTCCCTCTGTTGTCCCTGTTCTAGTCTACTCTACCCGGACGGTTTTAGACTCAAGTCCGCTCCCTAACTATTGCACCAAATTAGGATCCGCTAAGTAATCGGTAACTCTAGAGTGCTAAGTATTCAGACACACACACACATGGACATACAACCCCTCCCTGCCCCCCGCTTTCTCTCTTGCGCTTTCTTTGTTTTCTAGGTTTTCTTTCAGGCTTGTTAGGTGGTTCTTGCGGCTCGTTTCCCTGCCCCAGTCAAGTGCTAAGTAATCACTTTTTCCGCTTTTCGCTTTGCTCTTTCTGTTTTTCTTTTTCTTTCCTAAGGCTTTTTAGGTGCCTATTCAGGTTCTGCGCGAGAGCGCCGCAAAGCGGCCTTCTGTGTGTGCGTGCCACCCTCCGTTTCTAGGAGGTTAAACCCTTTCAAATTTGCAGGAGCGTGTGGCACTCTCGCCCTACCACACGCAACGAAGCTGTGGGCGAGAGTGGGAAGCAGGGCCTGATCAGCCCTGTGTACCTGCGAGTGACAACACTCTACTGTTCCCCGCTGTTCCTTGTTTTCATGGTGGTTCTTCACGCTATTTCCCTAAAGAGGTTTACCTCCGCAGCGTTCTGCCGCTCGTGAGCCGCCTGACTTACCGCAGATGTGCACCAACAGAGTTTTCAACATTTCAAGTGAACTGACTTTCTCGCCTTTCCGTTTACTCACCACTTTCTCGTGGGAACTGAGTTAACTGAAAACCCATTGTCAAAGTATGAAGCGATTGTTTCTTGAGGCGGTGCCTAAAAGCCCTTGGAATTCCCCTGCTGTGTTGGGCAACTCGGACTCCTGAGGCGTCGCACAATATCTAGCTGCATCCGGTTGAGAGGATTTGTGCGAACAAACAACGGCACATCCGAATCCATCTGCCTAAAAAAACACACAAGCAACGGAAAGTGGACACCAAGGTTCTTCAGCCTTCAGCCAAGTGGCAAACTCAGAGGAGATGTCTAAAGTCAACTCTGCATTGAGATCCACTGAAGACTGTGCCGGCACGCTAGCCGGATCCAGCTTCCCCACACCCATTTGACCGCCTTGATAGGTGAATTGAACTTGCCCTTCTTCGCAGTCACCGCCCAAAAGGTTAGGATTCTGCACCTCAACCTCCGCTTTGAACATGAGCTTCTTGGGTGCCTGGCAGAACCCGGTGCTGTGGAGCTGAAAGTCCCAAGGTGGGGAAGACATAGTTCTACATGGATAAGCTTGCAGCTACTTAAACTGAACCTTGACTCACAAAAAAGGAGAAGATGGGTCCACATGTCCAAGAATTTCTTCTGCAACTGGTTGATCCAACAGGTTGGAACAGCTTGGGCCATGGTGATCGAACAGGTGTGTCAAGATGGCCCGAACAGAGGCAGGCAGCTGAGAGCTGTTGAAAAGGGAGCCTTTCCACCAACAACCTGGTCACTTCCAGGCTTCCGCTCGTCCGCTCCAGCGTGACTCGCTGTTCATTAGATATATACATCCTCATATCTTGATACAAAAGGTTGGGATGTCAAAGCTGCTAGAGTATGTCCTGTTAGTTTATCATGTCACTTATATATGTAAGCATGATACATCCACTGTCACTATCATACATTATTGATTACATGTATAGCTACTTCTGCACTCCAGTTTGCCACTTTCAGTGCGGGACTGACTGCAAAAACGCCAAGTGACCAGCTCTGCGGAGCCACCCGAGACGGCGGTGACCAGTTTGCCCAGCTCCCCTGCATCGACTTGAAGCTTCGTGACCTTCCATGTCGGATCTCTTGGCCAAAAAAGGCCCAAGAAGATGCCGGTGGCCACGGCCAAAACTCCTCAGCTTCCAAGACCACGCACGTTCTTGGTTTTGGATGGGGTGAGGGTTGAAATGGTGGAGCGGGGCGTTCCACACAAACAACTGCCGCATCGTCCCACTCTATCAAGTGGCTTGCTTTGTAGCTCCCATGTTTTGGATGGAACCCAAAACATTCCAAAGCAATCCCGCGATTGAACCCCTAGGCCCTTCTCGCTTGCAGCCTTGATTGGTCTTGTTTGTTTTCAAGGGGGCTCATGATGGGGCCCTTATTCAAGGTCTCAGGTTCCGAAGGACAGACTGAAGCAGCAGCAGCACTTCCGCCGATTCCGCGACCAAATCCCACGGGAAACGGCCAAAGGAGTCTTCTCTGACTTGGTGGCTTCCCTGGACAGGGCGGCTTCAATGGGATGCTTCCGCTCAGTGGGCGGTTTCGAAGGCACCCCCCAATTGTCGTCCCATGCTTCCAGGTCATCTTGTTCCATGGATTGCCCAATGGGGATGCTGGCATAGCTGGAATGAGTTGGGTTCTTGTTGTTGCTCCGAATCTGTCCTTCATCTGTCAGACACTTAGGGTTTTCTAGGCGTTTCTCTCCATCATCATCATCATCACCACCCCAACTTGATTGGGTGGCATGAGTCTGGCGAGCTGCCATGGTCGGAAGTCTTTCAGCAGCTTCAAAATAATTACATCTCATGGGGAGGTGCATGGATTTCTCCCTCGCCACCTCGCCATTCTCTCCCTCCGAGCCAAATTGAAGAACAACTTCGACCATTTCTTCTTCAACACCAGGAGCCACACCCTGGATTGCATCACAGGCCTTTCGGCTACCTATGGTAGCATGGCTGGCTTGACTCTGCTGGGTGTGATTGCGCAAGCTCTTGCTCCCTGCACTGAATGATTTCATGCTGCCCGCATCGGGCACATCTTCCTCCTCCTCCTCCACCAAAGCTGGTTTCATCGCGAGTCTCACAGTCGTCCTGTTCTGGTTCAGGACAAACTCGAGCCGCGGGGGTCTGCGGCAGGCGTTGCACCAAAGCGTTTGATATGGGAAATCTATGGAAATCTAGGAACAAGAGAACCACTGGCCCCGACTCTGGCCCTGATCTTGCCGCGGCGAAGCTTCAAGCACATTCAAAAGAACTACTATATCCAGGACCATCCACGACCTACAAATGCTGAATCTGTTGGTGGATGCAATTTGTGCCGTTGCCTGGGACAAGCACATGTTGACCCTTTTCAAGTGTTGTCTGCCTGCATGAGTTTGGTAGTGTAGGAGCGCAGCAATTTTGGTCTTGCTTTTGTGCAAGAAAATGGCCAAGTGCACAAAGTTGCAACACAAACAACTCCAACTGTCAATATGCCAAGGCGACTGCCAAACTTGGACCAAAGAGGCTCCTCGGTGAACGACACTTCTTTCACAGACCTGTGTGGCTATGAATAAGCGCCACGCGTGGTGATCATACTGTAAAGCTAGACCACCCTACATCTGACATGTTCTGACACTGCCATTATTCTTTAAACAACATCATCCCACCACAGTCGAAACTCTATGAATTTAGGAGGTTGTCAAAAACAATACAATGATATTATATATATAATGTTATATATTACACACTGAAAAGTCAACACACGCTGTATGTGCATATGTGTGGATTTGTATGGAATATTAGACTTTGAAGGGCTCCTAGCACGTGTCACAAACCGGTGCCAGGCACACCCCATAGCTTTGGCGAGGCGAAGGTTTTACCACAACCAAGATCCATGATAACACTTGCAGTCCACGCTGCACCTTGAGGAATTCTTATGTTGATCCTTGACCCGTTTCAGAAACCAGGATTGATACAACCGTGCCAGTCCATACGGAAAATCTTCATGCGAAAGACATCCAAACGGCCATTGAAATGAATCTCACAGTCTACAATTTTGAGGAACACACGGTGTCTACATTTGTGATCTCCTTTTATGTTCATCCAGTCATGTCCCTCCTCCTCGTGCAGGTTCAGTCTGCTCCCATCGGCACAGCAGTGGACATCGCGAGATTCAGCGGCTGTGTATTGTCTGTCATTGTCTAGCAACAAATTAATGACACGAAGTGCCAGGGAACATCAGCCATTTTTTGGCAAATCATTGACTGTATCATCTGCTGTCTCAGTATATATTTCACCTGGACCATTGGTCCATCTGCAAGCGCACATCGATCCACCCTTCTATACGTTCACCGTGGGATCGCCAACGAAGCCACTCTGCGGAGGTGAGTGGCTTAAGCCATAAGGCTTGGATGTTTATGTCATTTTGGACGCCCGTTTTCCTGCATGGAAAGCAAACATCTGCTTGACAACTGGCAACCGCTGGGGCCGTACCTCGAAATGGTTTAGGTGCATGGATTCTTTTTCATATGACTCGACTGTTCCATCCTTTGATCAGTTCATCTGTACAAGAAAAACACATTGATACTGAGAATTGACCGGTGGAAGACCCTGCTCTACAACGCCAGTGGTTTTGGGGTTCCATGGACCTCTGCAGGGGAGTAATTGAACTTCTCTAGATCCCTGGCTTCCTGACCCGTACAGCCTGGCCCAAATCACCTGGGCGTTGATGCTTCTGAACATGTGCTGATTCTCACGCGCCATGGTGTCAATAATATCGTGGCATCATGTGGCACGCGGCGGTGTACATATTCAAGCAAGTTCAAGCATGTATACACATGGAATCACACGAGGTTCTACAGCTGGTACAGAGGTGACGGAGTCGTGAAGAGGACGCATCCGACAGTCGACGAGAGACCTTAGAAGAGGTCGATGTGCCCGTTGTCGCATCCGCGAAGACTCCTCCGGAAGGGTAGCTGCCCAGAGTCTGACTCGGAATGTTTCAGAAACAAAGACGAGCCTGGCAAAAATGCCACCACCAGCAAGCCACGGGTCCGCATTGTCCTAGCGCAGCATCTTGGATATGTCTGCTAGGACCCCACCAGGCTGGGGAGCTTAATTTCTGGCATAAGTGGCCTCTGGTCACAATAGCTGAACAAGCCTCTAGCTACCCCCCCCACATACCTTTTTAGAGAATCTTTATCGGTACAAAGCACCAACAATGATTAATCTAGCAATCTAGCAGTTACAAGTTGCACTTGGGGTGAGGACGATCTTAAACTGTCACACAACAAGTGCTTGTATATACAATGAATGGGAATCTAGACGGCATTTGAGTTAGAGGCGTGATGAAGCATGGTTGAAACTCCTCTCAGAGTTGATAGTTCTTTCATTGTGTTCTTTTGATGTAGGATGCTTGACTGTCCCGCAAACAGGGCCGCTCCTGGAAATGTACCCATGCTCCGAATTCACTCTTGAGCCAGGAGAGTCATCAAACAGTCGACTGCGGAACTGTCATGTGGTGTGTCCCAGGCGTTTGTGGAACCGGGAGGTGGGGCTTCGCACAGCTTTTTTTTCAGCTAAAGACCTCTGCCAAAGCAAGCAAGTCGCGCTGATTCTCGAAGGTTTGCCCAAAAGCTGTGGGCAACGCAGGCAAAGGGAATAGAAAACTGGTGGGTTGGGAAAACGATAAACTCAATCTGCTCAAGGCTCAAAGTGGCATCTCTTTTCTTATGCGCAGCCAGCAGTGGTGTAGTCCCTGCAGGAGAAAGGTATCGTGTCATTCAGTCATGGCAAAGAACACACGCAAACGTGCGCATGCCACCAGCAAACACAAAGCCGCTAATGACCGACCTCTTCAAATTTCCTTGATTCTCTGGCCGGTGTTCACTCGGATGGCTTTCTTTTCCGCATTCATCGCTGGTTGGTGCTGCGGGTCTGCCACAAGTAGCACAAGTGTGGGTTGGGTCCAAAAGTGCATCCACGAACCTACGTCTTATATAAGTTAAAGCAACAGGAATTTGTCTTGGTATCCCAATCCGCACTCTTGGCAACTGAATTCAAGCAGCAAAATTGAATGTAGGATTTGGCCGAAACCAGGCACGTTTGAGCCGTGATCTCTCAGCTTTCTTCCCTGCTGCCGAACTACAGAGGCCAGGCGGCAGTGATTCCTTGGCCTTACCAGTGGACCAAGACCTGTTCAGAAATTTAAAAATAAAGCACCAACATAACATACATGTCAACAGGATGATACCATATGATGATACCTGGTGCAATCAAACGGAGCAGTAGTACAATAGCTGCACAAAAACCAACATAACTCAACGCGTGAATGGCAGGTCGAATTGCAGCTGGTTTCCCAGTGCTCAGCCCATTGCCTTGCCTTTACCTTTTGCAAGCCTCAGCCATGATGATCTCCAGTGATGTCTGCTACATATCTGGAGTTGAGCAATTGGAGACTGATGGCGCTCGAGTCCGGAACCACACTCGCCTTTGCCAACATGACCTGAGCCCTCCAGCATTGCTAGGGCGGCCTTTCCCTTGCCTTGCGTCCAACCAGTGGGGCGCAACGCATCCCAATAAGCCTGGCTGTGGCAACACATCCAATGTATCCTTGCAAACTCTCAAGCTGACTTTCTCTCGACATGAGCAAACCTCGAATCGAAGCGGCACATGTTGAACACATCCCAGTTCATCAATACCCATGGGAAGCGTCGGTTGATGGGCTGACTTATATGTAGATCTCAAAAAAACACGCCTTAGCAGAAAGCAAGGTGGAACCCACGAACCCGAATGCAAACCTACATGTGTCCAAATGACACTCTTGTAGGACACTCTTGTGGGACACTCTTGTGGGTAACTCTTGTAGGACACTCTTACGGGACATTCTTGTGGGACACTCTTCTGGGACACTCTTGCGGGACACTCTTGTGGGACACTCTTGTAGGAAACTCTTGTGGGACACTCTTGTGGGACACTCTTGTAGGACACTCTCATAGGACACTCTTGTGGGACACTCTTGTGGACACTCTTGTGGGACACTCGTGTAGGAAACCCTTGCGGGACACTCTTACGAGACACTCTTGTGGGACACTCTTGTAGCACACTCTTGTGGGTCACTCTTGTGGGACACTCTTGTGGAACACTCTTGTAGGACACTCTTGTGGGACACTCTTGCGGGACACTCTTACGAGACACTCTTTTGGGACACTCTTGTAGGACACTCTGGCGGGACACTCTTGTGGACACTCTTATGGGACACTCTTGCGGGACACTCTTGTAGGATACTCTTGTGGGTTACTCGTGTAGGAAACTCTTGCGGGACACTCTTACGAGACACTCTTGTAGGACACTCTTGCGCGTCACTCTTACGGGACACTCTTGTGGGAAACTCTTATAGGACACTCGTGTGGGTCACTCTTCTGGGACACTGTTGCGGGACACTCTTGTCGGGACACTCTTGTGGGACGCTCTTGTGGGACACTCTATCTGGGACACTCTTGTGAGACACTCTTGTAGGACACTCTTGTGGGACACTCTTGTGGGACACTCTTGTAGGACACTCTTGTGGGACACTCTTGTAGGACGCTCTTGTGTGTCACTCTTGTAGGAAGCTCTTGCGGGGGCACTCTTTTGGGACACTCTTGATACCACCAATCATCCCGCTCACCAGCGAATCGCCGCGTTTACACCAGCATGTTTCGTGCTCCCAGTGGCGCGGCGCCACGCAACACACACTTCCCACCAAGGCCGCGCTAGTCGCAATGGCACTGCAACATCACGACCGTAATTTCGCCACACGGTCTGCCCACACACTAGAAGCAAACATATCACATGATACCACCAATCATCCCGCTCACCAGTGGCACGGCGCCGCGCAAACGCACTTTCCACCAAGGCCGCGCAAATCCGCATGGCACACTGCGACATCACGAACGTAATTTCGTCACACGGTCCGCTAGAAGCAAACATATCACACGATACCACCAATCATCCTGCTCACCAGCGCCACGCCGGCACAGGCGAGGCTTCGAGTCGTGCTTCGAGTCTGCAAAATGAGCGTTTCGTACGAGACTTCCTCCAAAAGTCACACGTCAAGTCTCCAAAACGAGCGTTTCGTAGGAGACTTCCTCAAGAACTCACATGTCAAAGTCTGCCAAACGAGCGTTTCGTACGAGACTTCCTCCGTCAAGCGGAAGCACCCATCGGAGCTCAAGCAGCCCTGCCAAGCAGTTTCGCGATTCCAGCTCCTCCAAACAACACCCACTCACACGCCAATCCCTATGTCACAGCGACATTCACCTCTACCACAACTCACAACCTCACGATTCCCTTATCATGTGAGCTTCAACAAAATGTGCACCACACCACACGTTTGGAATGGTTTCGGCCCGTTCTGAGATCCACCAAAATCGCGATTTCAGCGGAGACTTGTCACGAAAACAGAGCTTCGACGCAACACTCTGAAACGCAAACGGATCTCACAAAACGCTGTGCCTGCGCAGTGAAATCACCCTCCACACTTCAACATCTTATATTTCCACACGCCTCCACGCTATTTCACACGAATCTGATGCGTCACGTTTCCATCCGAAACCCTCCAAAGCTTCCCCCAATGGCAGGGCCTCACGGCCCTACTGCGAACGGCGGCGAACGGTTGCGAACGGTTGCGGACGGTTGCGAACGATTGCGGACGGTTGCAAACGCTGAGACCAAGCGTCGCGAACAAGGCTCTACCCCCAGACCCCCAGAGTTAAACGAGAACCCTTCGCTACGCATTCAGGAAAACTGGCCACTAACATTGAAACACAAGTCACTTGACCCCCTGCGCCTCTGTTTGCTTCTTGGTGTATGTGGGCGCCTTAGATACTGGCGGTTGCCTTCACTGGCTCTAAGTGCCTACGGCGCAAACATCGTTTCCAGATCATCACAATGCATACAACGCCATTCCAGCCCGAGCCCACTTTGGGCAGCAAAGCAGCGCAATTCAATGACCAAGCCATACCAAGGCACATAAAAGGCTCTCAACTGCTCCCAAGTGTAGCTCCTTCCATCCTGCAGCTGAGGAGCATGAGAAAGCAACAGAAAGCGTAATAGGCACCTGGTTGCATACACATGGGAGAATTGGACGCGACAAAAACCGAGCATGATCCAAGCCCCAGCCACGGCCCCACCTCTCACACTTGAACCAAGGGTAGGTGACGAAAGCTGGCAGGGATGCATCCGTGTCAGTGGAGGCGAAGCATACAGCGCCGTCCGGTGACAAAGGACTGGTGGGACATCAAGCGGAGTGAGGCAAATCTTTTTTCATAGGCATGGGGCTGTTGGAGGGATGGTTCACAAGGTCTCGCTCATGAGGTAAAACGTTGTGAACATGTAAGACACACGAACAGCAATGACACAGCCAACCTTAGCTTGTGAATCTGTTGAATCTGTTGCATCGCGTCCCAAAACCTCCAAGGAGGAGTTCAACCAAAGTGGATGCCATAAGAGGTGTCCAAGAGGTGTCATGCCCAGAAGCGTCCCAGGGGGGAGTTAAACCCGCGGGGGCTGGGTGCGGCCCCTCTACATATGAAGTTTTCATGTGACGTGGCGATCTCGAGGATTCCAGCCCCTCACTTGCTAAAGCAAGAACAACTCCAGCTAGCTGGTGCTAGCTTTCGTGATGAGTCGAATACTGAATACTCGTTACTCCGCTATATTGCAAATTATGAACATTGGCTGTACGGTTGTGCAAACATCAAAACTAAGAAAATACAAGAGTGTTTTCTTCAAAGTAATGTGTCTACACCGTCTGCACTCCCAAAACAAACATGTCCATAGGCTCAGCTTCTATGTCCTTTTCGAGTGACGAGTAGCTCCTCGCTGTGCTGGTAACAAGAAGCTACTAGTAACAAAGGGCATCGCTACGAACGGAGCAAGAAGCTACTAGTAGCTCCTGGCTGTCTATCAGTCTATCATAGTCTATCTGTTGTGTGCTTTTCATCCCACGGCCGTTCCCAGCGAGTGCGCGGCACTGGTGCTGCCAAAGGGCTGCAGGATCCACACCTGAAAGCCGGAAGGACCCAGGATCCGAGGAGCACCAAAGATCGCCAGGAACCAGTACACCAAACCCATCCTTGCTCCTAGTAGTAAGGCCAGGAGCCCCTAGTAGCGTCCTTGCTCCTAGTAGTAAGGCCAGGAGCTCCTAGTAGCGTCCTTGCTCCTAGTAGGAAGGCCAGGAGTCCTTAGTAGCGTCCTTGCTCCTAGTAGTAAGGCCAGGAGCCCCTAGTAGCATCCTTGCTCCTAGTAGCAAGGCCAGGTGCCCCCAGTAGCGTCCTTGCTCCTAGTAGGAAGGCCAGGAGCCCCTAGCAGCGTCCTTCCTCCTAGCAGGAGTTCCTGTAGCGTCCTTGCTCCTAGTAGTAAGGCCAGGAGCCCCTAGTAGCTTCCTTGCTCCTAGTACTAAGGGCAGGAGCCCCTAGTAGCGTCCTTGCTCCTAGTAGTAAGGCCAGGAGCCCCTAGATGCCAGGAGCCCGTGTAGCTTCTTTGTCGTAGTAGCGATGCCAGGAGCCCCTAGTAGCTTCTTGCTCCTAGTAGGAAGGCCAGAAGCCCCTAGTAGCTTTTTGCTCCTAGCAGCGATGCAGGAGCCCCTAGTAGCTGCTTGCTCCTAGTAGTAAGGCCAGGAGCCCCTAGTAGCGTCCTTGCTCCTTGTAGTAAGGCCAGGAGCCCCTAGTAGCGTCCTTGCTCTTAGTAGGAAGGCCAGGAGTCCTTAGTAGCGTCCTTGCTCCTAGTAGTAAGGCCAGGAGCCCCTAGTAGCATCCTTGCTCCTAGTAGCAAGGCCAGGAGCCCCCAGTAGCGTCCTTGCTCCTAGTAGGAAGGCCAGGAGCCGCTAGTAGCGTCCTTGCTCCTAGTGCTAAGGCCAGGAGGTCCTAGTAGCGTCCTTGCTCCTAGTAGCAAGGCCAGGAGCCCCTAGTAGCTTCCTTGCTCCTAGTACTAAGGGCAGGAGCCCCTAGTAGCGTCCTTGCTCCTAGTAGTAAGGCCAGGAGCCCCTAGATGCCAGGAGCCCGTGTAGCTTCTTTCTCCTATAGCGATGCCAGGAGCCCTAGTAGCTTCTTGCTCCTAGTAGGAAGGCCAGGAGCCCCTAGTAGCGTCCTTGCTTCTAGTAGTAAGGCCAGGAGCCCCTAGTAGCTTCCTTGCTCCTAGTAGTAAGGCCAGGAGCCCCACTTTTAGCGTCCTTGCTCCTAGTAGCGATGCCAGGAGCCCCTAGTAGCTTCTTGCTCGAAGTAGCGATGCCAGGAGCCCCTAGTAGCTTCTTGCTCCTAGCAGCGATGCAGGAGCCCTAGTTGCTGCTTGCTCCTAGTAGTAAGGCCAGGAGCCCCTAGTAGCGTCCTTGCTCCTA